TCCCCTTCTGGGAATTCAAATTATGTAGTGCTGCTGTTTAAACAATTTAATAACAGAGTGCACAATGTATAGTTAGATCAGGCAGAACATGTAGATTAACAAATTGAACTTGGTATAAAAGAGGACTTACTTGATCCTACTTGAAGTGTGTGGTGTTAACATGATTTGTGGTTTATTTGTAGCTGTTAATTTTTAAGACAGTGTGTGAATGTTACAGAGCCAGGCCAGTGGAACAAATTAGTGAATATTACTGGTATAGCTTGGGTTTTAAAGATGTCAGTGGGAGGTGGGAACCTGTGCCATGTGCACTGGATTTACTGCAATACTCAAAAAATACTTTGAATTGACTTTTCTTCATGTAGTTTACAGTAGACTTTTACTTTGCATCATAGTACGATGTGTACGTAGTACATAAAACTAAAGACAATTTGGATTTTACCAGACTTTGCAGCACTTAAGCATTTCATCCAATTACAGAGTTGCCAAATTACTTTTTCGCTATGTATTCAGTTATTGAGAAAGTGAAGTTTTGCAGTGCTCAAAAATGCGGTTTTATTTATTTCCAGAACATGAACTGAAACTTGTATCATTTCACACTTCCTAGTGTCAACACGGAAAACACATGGCTCCCTTATGGCATCAAACTGAAATAGTTATCGCTTTCATTTTATGGCTATTACATTGGAAAATTCTAGCAACATATGTCAAAAACGTCACCCGTAGTTTTTTTTTGTGTTGTCAAATAAACAATTAAAAACTTTAAGTGAACCAGTCAGGGTTTAAATATGGTTGCTGCCATTGCTGACTTGGTTTATAAAGGTTTATAAAGGTTCAGGCCTCAGAGCTGTCATGGAATTCTGGCCTTACTACCTGGTGAGTCTCTGACCTGGAGCAAGAGTGCAGCACCAGTGACTTTTCAGACTTCACTGTCCTTTTTGCTTTTTCCAGATCCTAACCCTCTATTAGATTATGAACAACACTAAAATCTAAAAGGGCTCTTCTTTCAAAATAATTTAATAATTTAAAATCTTAAACTGACATTAAAACCTCCTTTTTTTCTTGTGCTGGTGTAAAGACTTGCCTTGTATGATGCCTTTTGATGTGTACATCTTCTTCCTTCCACCCTTTTCAGATTGTCCCCTCAGCACTAGCACTGCTGTCCAGTTTTTGGGTGTCTACTATTTCCTTTAGTGTCTGACAGACACACCCTTGCATGCGCGCTCCCAGCATGCGCACACTTCTACACACTGCAGTAAAGGTCTGGAGTGGAAAGCCACTCCTTCTCCCCCTCCTGTGTCATCCAGTGTGCATGCTCCTCAGCCCTAGTTGTGTCCCCAGTGCGTTTCTCCCTACCTTGAAGTTTGGGGGAAGCAGTGTTGTATGATCTGGAGCTGGGGGGCAGAGAAAGGATAAATTGTAAGTCTGTCACATATTTTTAACACATACACTTCTGGGGAATGTTCCCTGACAGACGAGCATCCTCAAAAAACTGTAAAGTTGTAGTCTTTAGAACTACTTTAATATATTGCATTCTTTATATACACTATAGTGGCAAAGGAATTGGGACACTCCTCCAAATCATTGGATTCAGGTGTTCCAATCACCTCCATGGCCACAGGTGTATAAAATCAAGCACCTAGGCATGCAGACGCTTCTACAAACATTTGTGAATGAATGGGTCGCTCTCAGGAGCTCAGTGAATTCAAGTGTGGTAACGTGATAGGTTGCCACTTGTGCAATAAGTCCATCCGTGAAATTTCCTTGCTACCAAATATTCCACGGTCAACTGTTAGTGGTATTATAACAAAGTGGAAGCAACTGGGAACAACAGCAACTCATCCAAGAAGTGGTAGACCACGTAAAATGACAGAGCGGGGTCAGCGCATGCTGAAGCGCACAGTGCGCAGAAGTCGCCATATGTCTGCAGAATCAATAGCTACAGACCTCTAAACTTCGTGTGGCCTTCAGATTGGCACAACAACAGTGCGTAGAGCGCTTCATGGAATGAGTTTCCATGGCCGAGCAGCTGCATCCAAGCCTTACATCACCAAGCGCAATGCAAAGCATTGAATGCAGTGGTGTAGAGCACGCTGCCACTGGACTCTAGAGAAGTGGAGACGTGTTCTCTGGAGTGACGAATCACGCTTCTCTGTCTGGCAATCCGATAGACATGTCTGGGTTTGGCGGTTGCTAGGAGAACGGTACTTGCCTGACTGCATTGTGCCAAGTGTAAAGTTTGGTGGAGGGGGGATTATAGTGTGGGGTTGTTTTTCAGGGATTGGGCTTGGCCCCTTAGTTCCAGTGAAGGGAACTCTTAAGGCATCAGCATACCAAGTCATTTTGGACAATTTCATGCTCCCAACTTTGTGGGAACAGTTTGGGGATGGCCCCTTCTTGTTCCAACATGACTGTGCACCAGTGCACAAAGCAAGGTCCATAAAGACATGGATGAGCGAGTTTGGGGTGGAGGAACTTGACTGCCCTGCACAGTCATGATCTCAACTCAATAGAACACATTTGGGATGAATTAGAGCGGAGACTGCGAGCCAGGCCTTCTCGTCCAACATCAGTACCTATCCTCACAAATGCGCTTCTAAAAAAATGGTCAAACATTCCCATAGACACACTCCTAAACCTTGTGGACAGCCAGCTTTTCCAGAAGAGTTGAAGCTGTTATAGCTGCAAAGGGTGGGCCAACTCATTATAGAACCCTACGGACTAAGACGGGGATGCCATTAAAGTTCATGTGTGTGTAAAAGCAGGCATCCCAATACATTTGGAAATATAGTGTATGTCAGTCTATTTAAAATGTTTGGACTTTTAAAAGGACTCATAGGTGCCACTATCATAGACTCTTGCATGTATGCATGCATGTGTCTCATCCCATTGACCAGTCATTACATCACTGAATCTAATAATGCAATTAATGCAATAGTTAGATAAGCATGTATTTAAAGAAACATGGATACTTTAAAAGAGAACTATGGCCCAACCTTTTTTTGCCATAGTTCTTTTTAGGGTCACAGGAAGACATATACTAATGTCCTCCTGTGACCCAAAACTCAGCATATAACAGGCTATTGCCCACTATATGCTTTTGCCATAGTTCTCTTTAGGGTCACAGGAAGACATATACTAATGTCCTCCTGTGACCCAAAACTCAGCATATAAACTCAGCATATAACAGGCTATTGCCCACTATATGCTGTTCGCCATGCTGCAGTCGGGACAGAGCCTGACAATATTGTTGGGATCCACCCTGCTGCCTGATTGACAGCTGGCTTTGCCTCTCTGGTGCCCGCCCCTCCCCCTTCTTTTCCTCCAGTCAACACTGGAGTAACGGAGAGGAGAGGGGGAAATTCCTGTGGGAAACGGTTACTGATATTTACCGCTCTCTGCAGGGAGCGTTATGTCAGTGGTACGTGATCACTCAGTTGCCATAAATAAAGTCTACGTGTGACAGCTTCAGTGTCACATGTTGGCTCTAATTATGAGGATGATTGTATTTCACTCTCCCCATAATTCTCCTTTAAAGAATAACTGTAAATGAAAGGTCGAAGGAATCTAGGTTAAATTTGTTACCGGGGGCTAGGCAAGAAGAAAAGACCAAATCCTCCACATCTGTTCTAATGTTTAAAACCTTTGCAGTCAAATTTGAGGAACCCCCACTATATGTCTGTTGTGTGACTCCATTTACATGCCATCCCTAAAAAAAACACTTTTTTAATTGTTTCTTTGGAACAGGAGTACACATATGACTTTATGATCAGCTTGAATTGCTTCGAAAAAGTGGCAACGGGGACATAAGAGGAAGACTGGTGGGGCAAGATTGAGAGGGAGTATATTATCATACCACCCAAGTTGTAAGACATTTAAACCTTTGTTAGGACAGACAGTCCAGCACATCTAATTACCAACCAATAAGGAAATCTGTCAGCATAGTACAGACAGGGTTAATTATGGTTAAACATACCTCCCTCATCATAAACCTCTTAAAAAGGTTAGGAGTGAATTGTCCAGAGATTTTGGTCTCAGGCGAACGCACTGCTCGGCACTCTTACGCCAAGTGAAGCCCTGCTGAATGTCAGGCCGAATTACCTTTCTAAGTGTGAATTTCAACTTTTAACACACATGCTTACAGCAGTGAAACCGGTAATAGCCAGTGCCTGGCTTTCTGATAGTCTGAGTATCTCAGCTGTCAAAAATAGGCTCCACTAGGTCATGATTAATGAGAAGCTGACAGCTAAATTACTTGGTAGTCTTCCCAAATTCAGTAGAATCTGGGAGCCGTGGGCCTCTAATTTTCTCCCGCCTACCTTCAACAGGTCCCTACTGAGTACTTAACTTTGGGATCACCTTTTCGATAGTATATGTTCTACCGTGCACAATCCCCCCATCCACCTTCTTCTCTTCTCCCTCCTCTTTCCCCTCCCCCTCATTGGCTTCTTTCAACCTCCCTTTGATTCTTTTCTTTGATTTTTTCCTTTTCTTTCTGTTTCTTAACTCTATTCAATCTCTGGTTACACCCGGTCTTCCAAGACAGACTGGTATATGCATCTACACAATTGTAGATTGCAATTACTAGTTACCATCAATACCCTGTGTATGCCATATCATACTGCTGTTGTTACTGATGTTTCGATGCCCAGTTCGCAAAACTGTTGTTGCCTATATGTGAGTGACAATCTGCCACTTGTAGTGGATACCTTTGTTTTACTTTTATATACCAATAAAAATGTATTGAACAACAACAACAAAAAGGTAAGGAGTGATTTTTATTTTTTTTAAAGTTATGATATGTGAATGAGAACATTTAACTAATATAAAGTAAGTGTTATCCCAATTTGGCCGCAAAAGGGGGCATGCACTTTAAAGAACAGTGCCTGTATGTTAGAAAAGACAGTGCTGTACATCACAGTAATCAGATTAGATGCTATCTACTAATACATTGCTATTGCTATTTTGATCTAATAACCCATTCTCTTGTGAATTTGTTGTAGGATTACTTCAAACCACTGCAGATGAGTTCTGCTTTTACCATGGGATGAGGGACAGTGGACTCTGCTTCCCAGACTTTCCAAGGAAACAAGTGCGAGGACCAGCATCAAACTACTTGGACCAAATGGAGGAGTATGACAAAGTGGAAGAGATCAGCAGGTTCATATAGATAAATACTCTTTAATCTTTAGAAAAAAAAACTGATATCTTCTTGTGGTTTTGACAGTGAATTAACTTTGGTCTGGCTGATGTGTAGCAGCTGTGCCCTCCAGATGTTTTGGTCATCTGCTGTTTATGTGATTGTCTGGGAACAAATGCCTTTTTAATATTTTGGATACTCGTCATGCTTTCTCAGTTGTTAGTATGTACTTCCGACCCACAGAGCTCTCCCACATTTTTGTTTATAGATTTAATTTGTAATCAAATATCAAATTAATGTGAGTGTTTTTAACAGGAAAATAACAGTGGCAATTAGTGTAATACCTTTTTAAAAAACTTTGTAACCTCTTCATTTAACCGTCAGCCCATTCAATCCTTTTCCCCTTATGAGTGGAAATTGTTAGACTGAATAGTTCAAGTTTCCAACCTCTCTCTCAGAGGAGCATTGTCTCTGTGTTGGAGTTCCTGCCATTGCCCTATACTCATCTTTCTGTAGAAGGAGTGATTCATGCTATTTGTATTCTCCATGCAAAGTAAAACACCAAACAGAGAAAATACACTGTTTGTAATGGGCTGACTTACAAACTCATCTCAGAGTCACAAAGGGATATATCAAGGATTGGAGAATCCAATGTAGTAGGCTCTGATCAAAACTGAGATATCTAGTTTGGGTAAACAGACCCTTCAAAGGGGCTTCCTAGTTTATTAATTCCGCAAACACTTAGACTTCGACATACTGTATATTAATTCCAAAAGTTGTTTTCAATCTTTTTAAATTTGCAGCTTTAATTAAAAGAATACCTGGTGATCCTGTCATAAAGGTCTTTGTGCAGGAACATCCTGTTATGGGGTTACAACGGTCTCTCAATTGTTCTCCTGTGTTGTCACCCTGTCACATGTACCACTTGGAAAGACTGCAAGCTGCCTTGCTGACACACATCGCTCAGGCATGGTCCACCATTTTCTGCCAATCCAGGGCTATGATATCCAGACAAAGCTAGGACGAGTGCATGTAGACAGGAAGAGACTGAAACAGGATGAAAGAGACTAGAAGAGATCAGCAGCACTGCGATGCAAAATGGGGACAAAAAAATGTAATGTTTATGATTTGCACTGTTTTAGCAAACTAAATCTTATCCGGTTAGGGTTTACATCTACTTTAAGGTGGCCAACCTCCCTGTACTCCTATTGTCAGCCTCAGCAACAGTACATTACCTTCTATATTTGCTGTTCCGGCTTCTCATTGTCCAAACATGCTGAAAAAAATGTAAACAATGCCTCATCTGGAGAGTGAACTGAAATATTTTTGTACCACACCAACATGTGAAAGTCTAGCAACATGTCAAAGAAAGGAAAAGTGACAACAGATGTCACAGAAGTTAAGACTGAAGCATAATGACCAGATTGTACCTCCAAAGTATCTGGCCATCCCTTTGCCTCTTGTCTTTGCAAACCCATTGCAATTAGGAACTGGAGCACCAATAGTAGTGCAGTCCAAGGAAAGTGGTTGTCAGAGGATATTTGGGCAATATAAGAACTCTGTCAGGTCTTAATATATACAGTATTTATCAGTTAGGATAAATGTTTAGTATGTGTAGTATGTGAATAGCATATTCTACCTTATGTCTCATAGTCCTAGTTATCTGAAACATTGTGTTTCAAAGACCTAAACAATTGATGGATAAAACTGTTATAGATTTTATTGTTTCTGAGGCAGTGTTGTTGATAATATATTTAGAAATGCTGCTTCATTTACTATATGAAGTGCATAATTTTAACACCTTTTATCTTTTTTTTATATTTATAGGAAACACAAGCACAATTGCTTCTGCATACAGGAGGTTATCAGAGGCCTGAGACAGCCTGTTGGAGCATTGCACAGTGGAGACGGATCACACCGTCTCTTCATTCTTGAAAAGGAAGGCTATGTGAAGATTCTTACTCCTGAGGTTGATTTAGTAAAGGAGCCTTTCCTTGACATACACAAAGTGGTTCAAAGTGGAATTAAGGTCAGATATAATTGTTACTTAAATTTCTTATTATGTTTATAGTTGATATGTATTAATATATTAAATGCACTGATTAAAGTTACACCAGCAGATAAGCAATAAACATAATGTTGTGAAGGAAAGTGTTAAGGGAGTACGGTGCTCTTCTTCGTTTCTTATCAGTAGAATACATTTAACATGCAACTGAGTGTTGCCCATGCAAGGCAAAACAATAGGTCTCACCCCACCCTCTTGTATGCTCAACTTCCCTTTGCTCAGTATTGCTCTTTTTGGCAGCCTAGAGCTAAGGGAACTACCCTGTTCTTCCTGATATTGGGAAGCATGTGACTGGTGCTGGATGTCTGAGTAGTCAGCTGTTAGGCTGGGGTGGGATGGGCAGAAAGCCCTCAGTCCTATGTAGGTTCTGACCAGAGTGACTTGGAGCTTACACTGGGCTTTTTGCTTTGCTCCTATGGATAATCAGATGGTGGGTGAAGGGAAGGTGAAAATAAGCAATGTGGTGTCATTTTGCCCTGAATGGACTAACACAAGCTTACTTTAACAATCTCAAAGCAGTTTAAAGTAAGGATATTGCCAGTAACAGCTGTGTGGATTACATATTTTTACTTCTGCAGGTTAAAATGAAAGCCAAAATGTCATTGCTGCTACGGGAAACAGCACAGTTTTTATACCAAGTTAAGAACATGGAAGCATTTGAAAAATACGATATAGGCGAGGGCTTTAAAATTAGACATAATGCTGTTATTTCAATTATTTCAAAAGGTTAAACTCACTTGCATCCTTGTGGGAGAATCTGGTTACCCTGGAACTCAATGAGTTGGTATTAGCTTTCTCACAGCTATTGACTTTATTGTCTGCCAAAATATTTCCACTATCTCGTTCAAGTCACTCTATCTCAATGTGTATTCATGGATATGATTATTTCACATAGCTTAGTGCTGTGTGGCATGTCTCTCGACAAAGCGGGTTGAGTGCATATGTTTTTCATTATGTGGTTTCAAGAGTACAAGTAGAATAATTATTTTCTTCCAGCAAGGTGCTGCTTAGCAAGTGTGTAAAGATGCTGAAACAATAATAAGACATTTTTTACTAGAGCTTTCAAAAGTTATGCAATTATTATTGCCATTACTATTAAAACTGAGCTATTTACCTAACAGATATGTCATTTTTAAGCGATGTATCCCCCTTAATGATTCAGGCCTGTTATTATAGTAATGATATTATGCAACAAGATAGCTACAACAATTTACCCAAAGTGTGTATTTACCCACATGCAGTACATCTCTCCAGTTGTGGTGAGTAGCATTTTTCCACACTGGATCAGATCAATGTCAGTAACTGCAAGGGCACACAGAAAACAATGGACCGTTTCAGCATGCGGCTGGTGTGAACCCAGCCTTACCCTTGTGCAACTGCAGAAAAAAGGCTAATCATTCTGTAGTCCCGAGATAAGAACCAGAAGGGCTAATTACTTTCCTTGAGTTAGCACAGGAAGTGTGCGCAAGACTCAGGGCAGCTCTGAATATCTGAAATTATCAACAGGTATTTGTTTGCACTTACAGAACAAATACAAAGAAAATATTTCAGTGATATATTTATCAGGGCAAAGTGTATTGTTAAGGTTTACTTACTCTACTATTTTAAAGTATGTAATTTAGTAATTACATTTTAAAGAAAACCTGTACTGACAGGACTATTATTGGTGAACTCTTTAAAATGCTAGTAGTCTGAAAGGTTATGGCTTCAGTATTTCTGAGTCACTGACAAACCAGTAAAGTCAGAAAGAAGGGACTCAGAAAGTATAAAGTCAAAGGCAACTAGCAATTTCAGAAGCTTAAATTACTAATGACAGGCTATACATGTCTTTCAAGGATTGAGAATTACCTAGGAGTTTTTGTAGGTTACTTACAGATTTCTTTTAAAGTGAAAATCCATTTTCACTATTTGCTTCATGCTTTCTTTCGGTAGATTTTGCACAGTACACATTTGTGTGCCCACTGGTTCCCATCTAGAAGGTTTTCACCTCTTCTGGTCAATTACTCTCCGGTAGCCAAATCGAACCTCCCGAAATTGAATCAACATCAGTTTAAAGTAAAAATTTGCAAATTTCATTCACACTGCTCATTTTAAGTTTTATGACCTGAGTATTTCTTGAGCCAAATAAAAGCAGAAAGGAAATGCTATCTCAAGTTTTAGTTCCCTAGTTGGGCCTATTACTGTATTAATGCATGCATTGAAATGAAAAACTATATTATATTCAGTCCACTCTACAGGATACTAAGGGAATTGTACAATTTTTATACAGTGCAGGTTATTTGTAGGTAGTTGCCTCCAGTAATTTTAAGTACTTGTTTTAAGGTGTTTTTTTTTAATGATAGGTACGGTGTTAAAATATTGGCCTAAAGCAAAGGTGGTACCTGTTTTTAGAAAGATTTAAAGTACTGGCAGCTGCAGACATGTAAAGTGCACTTCTGTTACAGTAAATAGATATATTATGGATTGTTAACTGACCAACAGATATTGTTATGCAATTCTACTCTATTTATGAGGAAGTAAAGAATATAAACAGAGGGTGGCTATGTATGTAGTATTTTTGGACTGTGTTAATGCATATGGCATAGTTCATCACAAGTGCCTAATGAGTAAATTAAACTTTGTTGGTATATTTACATTTTTTTCCTGCCCGTGCGCGCGCGCTAGGGGGCGCGCGCAAGCAGGAAAAAAATGCCGTCTGGTGACGGCAACCCGCAGATAGGAGTCAGCCGTCCGTCCGTTTTTACTTAACGGGCGGACGGCAAGAGGTTAAATACATATGCAAAAGTTATGATTTATTGGGGAAGCATTGGAATCTCTGTCAGCTTTGTATTACTTTCTTTGTTCTTATGTGTTCACTAGGACAGGAAGTAATAGGTGTGTGAGGAAACAAGCATCTAACCAAGCAAAATCATTTTCAAAATGTAGTTGGAGTTCTCATTGTCTATAAAACATTTAGTCTTTGGGATTAAAAGTATTATTTCTGTGTTTGCAGATGACACAAATCTTTGTAGTGTAATGCAATCCATGTAACCAATTTGCAAGCTGACATAGACACACTTGTCAATTTGGTAGCTGCATGACAAATAAGATTCAGTGTAGATAAATGCAGGGGACTTAGGGAACTAAAAATAGGCATGCATTAAAACAAATTCTGGAGGGCAGGGTTATTGGATCAGCCAAGGATGCAGAGTTACCTAGATGTATTTGTAGATTACAGACTATAGCACCATGCAATATCTTTCTACAGTGTCTAAGGCTGAAAAAGTCATTTCTGCTATATATAAAAAATAAAAAAAAACTCGACAGAGACATTATTTGTATTGCCTTATCTTGGATATACAATTCAGTTTTTAATATCAACTAACAGAAAGGTAGACGTGAAACTAAACACAATAGAGAGAAGGGCAGCTCAATTAATAAGGGAAATGAAGAGCATAGGCTACAAAGACTAATGGTATTTAATTAGCAAAGGCAATTAAGGGGGATGTGACCACCATATACAAAAATATTAATGTCACACACAGAACACTGTGAAAGTAAGAAGATGTCCCCACAGAAGACCTCTTGAAGCTCTAGATTGGGAAAGGTTCTTTACTGTAAGAGCTTTAAAATCTGTTCAACAAGTTTTGTAACATGAGATTTAAATCAAGGCTTCAATGACCTCTGTAGCTGCAGGCATGTTGGAGCAATTTATCTTCAAAGTGTACAGTACAAACTCTGAAGTCATTCAGGTCATGCTGTTTAACAGTTATGCTCACCCTGCTGCCCCTTCCTTAAGCACTTGCTCGGTGTTGACATTAGAAACTAATAGACTCAAAAAATGCAGTCACTGCTGGGAGGTACTGAGAGAATGACTTAAAAGACTTTAGTGCTTCAGCTGTAAAATTGGAGGATAATTTGCACCACAGTGCATGGCAGATAGACTGACACAGCAAGGACTTGATTTATTGTTCATTTACCGCTAAATACTCAAATTGTGCATAGGCTGGCCACAGATTCACTTTAAGCTAAACATAGATTCGATCATGTATGAGTGCCAGAGATATATCTGAGCTAATTTGTTATTACCTTTCACTGCTCACGCATTCCTGCTAAGACATGGTTTTCTTTGTGTGTTCATAGATCTAAAATATACTTTTTGTTTCAAGACTTTTTTCATATACAAATCTGTTATCACCAATCATAACTGTATGTCCTACAAATGCGTTGTGTTGACTGCTCATTCATATGGATAACTATGACTAACATACCCATAAAGGTACAACAAATAGTGAGACAGAATGTTTCCTATTAGCTTTAATTTATCAATCATAAACAAAAGACATATTTGAATGATGAAGACATTCAAAAGAAGAAAAGAGAAAATAAGTGATCTGGTGACAATGCTGCTAACTAAATATTTGTCCTTGGAATCTTTAAATAGTGGCTTGTGACTTGAGTATCTTCCTATATTATGATTACGTATTACATACTATAGTTGGCTGAAATTAGCAGCATGGGTGAATACTACAGATATGAAGCACAATATCAGACTTGCCCTATTAAAAGTCCAATCTCTGCATTAGACATCTGAGTGGCATGGACAGTTGCCTTTACTTTGAAGTATTCATGGTAAAAGTATTCAATCTGTCAGCAGACATTCATATCTATGGAACTTGGTAGGCGTGTTTATGATCCTTTGCCAGGACATTTCATGTGACTCCAGCTGCAATTACTTCATTCCTCATGGGCAGCTTTGAACAATTAGGATAACTCCCATTTTTATTGTAATGGAATTTTCATGTCCGGTGGCAGTCAACAAAAACTGGGGAGGTTTTACTTTAGACTTTCAAAGTCAACTGATGTGATGAAGAAACATTACCTTTAAAGGTTGTTTAAAGAAGAATTATGGGGAGAGTGTATTACACTCATCCTCATAATTAGAGCCGACGTGTGACACTGAAGCTGTCACACATCGGCTCTGT